ACCTTCGGTGCGCGGCTTTTTGGGGACCGCGGGGGGTCCAAACACAAGCGCGCAAGACGCCACTGCCGCCAAGCGTTCGGCGATCGGGGACCCCAATGGGCCCGCACCAAAGGTCACTCTGGCGAAGGGTCACTCTTACGTGTAGTCGAAGTCGGGACGTGCAGTATGTGGGCCCCTGGCCGGGCCCCCCTCCCAGGCCCGAGCGTGGTCTGCTCCAAAAGCGCCCTGCGAGTGAACATACCCCGCCTCGAGGTGAGCGAGGAGGAGCAACAGTATGCACGACGAGTGTTAAGCCCCGCTCAACTCAAAACAAGTGCCCGAACTCCGCGACCGCGTCAGTACAAACCACCGCGTCCGAAGGTCACACCGCCACCGCGTGTGTTACGTCACCACCACTCTCATCTGCCTCTGCCAGCGCCACGGCTGCTGCCTGCGCATGCTTATTTAGTCGACCGGGGTAGCTACCAAGACGGAGGTTGGTGGTGGGGAGATGGGGCGTGCATGGGTTCTACATTGCCCCCCAGTGGGGAGCCAATGGCAGCGTCATCGCTGGCCGCCGAAGCCACCCAACGGCGACACAAAGACACCACGAGACCCCACGACCCCGCGACACCGAGGCACCGCGACACCCCACGACCACCACGGCGCTGCCTCGGGACGATAGGGTTAGGCCGGGCATGTCCTCCTACAGGCGGAGCGCGGAGGCAAAGCAAACATACCGAACACATGCTGAATAGTGGGCGGCTCTTTGGAACAAGCGCAAAAAAAACGCCCCCTGGGGAGGACCAGCTCGGTTACGCGCAAGAGTGGCCCTGGGTAAGAGTGACCTTCGGTGCGCGGCGTCTTGGGGGCCGCGGGGCGACCAAACCTGGGCGCGCAAGCCCCTGCTACCGCTTCGTTGTCAGCCATCTGAGGGTCCCTCTGTGCCCGCACCGGAAGCAACTCCGGCGAAAGGTCACTCTTGCGTCTATAGCCGACCCGGCGAAAGGTCACTCTTGCGTCTAAAGCGACCGGCCCAGGCGGGGAAGCCTCGACCCGGAAGCCGGCGGTGCCTCGGCGGCAGCCCGTCGGCGGGCCCCCGAGGGCGCGGGGCGGCCGCGCTCCCGGCCGGGGCGGACTGCCGGGCCCCCCTTCGGCGAGGGACGCGCGATTTCTGGGGTCGACGCCCACGCCCCCCCCCTCCCCCTGTGAGCCTACCCTTAGGCCCTTAAGTCGGGCGTGTCCCCCTACAGGGGGATTTTCGACGAAAAAAAGAAATACTCAAAAAATGATCCCAAATGGTTTCAAAATACTGGAAAAATAGTCCCTATACTACTTTTGACTATTTTTAAAAAATTCCTCCTGTAGAGGGACAGGCCTGACTTTAGCCTACCCTTGTTAGGAAGCAACTTCTGGGAGGTCTTCGTCGGAAAGATGAAGGAGCCCCCAGTGAGGGTCTGTTACGCCGGAGTGGGCTTCGGATCAAGCGGGATGAGGCCGGATCAAGCGGGATTCGGCAGGATTCCACGGGATCCAGAGGGACCAAGCCAGATTCAGCTGGGCTTCGGATCAGGGCAACATCGGAATTTGACCTCCCAGGAGTTGCATCCGAACCCGTGGGTCGGGCATGCCCTCCTGCACGCGGACTTCGGTTGGAAGGAAAGCTAAAGATAGCCAAACCAGTAGCCTAGGACAGCCGAGCAAGCACGAACCGCCGTCCCCGGACTACCTCCCTACTGCTCTCGACTGCTCCCCCTGTAGAGGGACATGCCCGACCTGAGCCCCTATCCCCCGCTGCCGCTGCCCCTGCGACACTCCGCGATCACCACGACACCCCGCGGCTCCCCCACGCCACCGCCGGGGCCCCCGCGCGGCCCCCGGCGCCCGCCGATCGCCGACGGAGCGGCCACCCGCGGGGAGAAGGCCCCTCTCTGCCACGCCGCCCGCCCTGCCGATCTGGGGAGCTCGCGCACGGCTCCGCGCGCACGCCAGGCCCGACACGACCACGACGCACCCGCGGGAAGGCTCCCGGGGACGCCTCCACGCCGTCGTCCTCCGGCCTGGCGATCCGGCTGCCAGACAAATCGGGGGCGCGCCGAGGGGGCACGCGAGGGGCGCCTCCTCGGGAATGCGGCGGAGCTTCTCCGACGCGCCCCCCCCCCCCCCCCGGCCTCCCGAGAAGCGCCCGTGCGGCTTCGGAGAAGGCTCCCGGAGCTCCTCGAAAGGCTCAGGAGGCCGGGGGCCTTCTCCGAGCCGTCCGAGAAGTCCCGGCCCCCTCCTGGCCTGCCCCCCCCCCCCCGCGGGGCGCGCCGCCGAACCAGTGGGAGACCCCGTCCCACGGCCGGCTGGCAGGAGCAGGGGGGCGAGCCACCGACTCTAAGCGAGGGCGGCGGCCCCTTCCGCGCTCGCCGTCACACTCCCGTCCGCCGATGTCGGACAGCCCTGGTCTCCACGGTCCACAAGTCGTTGGCGAGCACGCCGAAGCCGCAAGGCGACGAACAAAAAAATGACCAATGAGCAGCACGACTGTTTCGCAAGCGCAGGCCAGGCCCGAAACTGGAGGAGAACCATCGTACCTACAAAGAATAAGGCGAGAGCATCGAAAGCATAGATTGGCGGCGCGCACAAGGGGGTGGAAGGAGGGGGGAAGGCTTCCTAGAAGGAGGCTGCTTCTTAGAAGACGCCGGCCTCACATCTATAGATAAGGCCCGAGCCTTCTAAGAAGCAAGGGTGCTTCTAAGAAGCCCCCCCCCTCTCCCCACCCCCATCTGCGCGTGGCCGAATAGAACCAACGAGCGAAACAAACCCCAGATGTCGACCATATCATTTGGAAATCGCATTGTCCGTTCAGACCGTCTGTCAATGCGCAATTCAATTACGCACCTGAGCTGCGTCAGAGCACCCACTTCCCAGCCCAGGGATAACGAAGCACAGCCCCGAGCCTGTTATGAACGAAAAATCCCGACGATCACCGGATGAGACCTCCCGCAGCAGATTTGAACAACATTGACGTCGTATCCCCGCGAGTTGCCACCACGTCGCACACTGGCGGTGCTCTCATAATTTTCACCACGGATACAGGAGAGCCCAGAACCGAAGATGCATCGGCGATGCGGCTCGATGTGGAGCCCGACATTCTCCACGCCGACGTCGCCGATGCATCGGCGATGCATCGCCGATGCAGCGGCGATGCAGCGGCGATGCAGCGGCCATGCGGCGCGATCCTCCGACCCCACCTACCCGGATCCCATCTGGGAGGCCTACAGTCTCTGGCACAGCGAGGGCCCTGCAGACCTCGAGCGAGGTCGGCGGTGTGAGCTGCCCCGAAGAGCGCAACGCGCGACACGTACAGCGTGCTTTGGCTCGGAGCTGAACGCGCAGACCGAAAGCGCAGGTCTGGCGCGACGCGTTCGCAAGAACGTGGGCCAGCACGTGCCAAGCCAACACGCAGCGTGATGACATTGACGTTCTGAAGAGCGCTGCGTTCCACAACGGGCGTATCGGGGCAGCTAAGATCGTGACGACCCCTACGTTGGTTTCTGAAACCGCGAGAATTCTTCAAACTCGAAAGATCCGCGTTTTTTCGACCGCCAGATCGTTCCATACAAGCCGGTCGGAAGAAGTAGATAGAAACCTGAAGTAGGAAGGCGGGTAAAGTAGGTTGGGTTCAGGCCCTCCGGTAGAAAAACAAACCACAGCCAAAGCATATCGATTCCTGAAGTGGGAAGGCGCTAGAAGTATTTTGGGATCTGGGCGTCCAAAAATACCTGCTTTCAACGACCGACTGGTATCCACCGATGCCAGGCCACCGGCGGCATTCAACCCTTGAGCGCCCGCGCTGGGGGGCTGGGGTCGACGCCGCTCCGACGCGCCACGCGAAACTGCCGTCTCCTCCGCAACCTCCCCTGTTGGACGCCCGAGAGGGGTACGGAAGATACAGTCAGCCCATCTGATAAAGATGCGCGGTAAGGATGCAAGGGCCTTGGAGGGCCATGTGAACGTTTTTTCGAACGAGGTTGGCCAGCGAAAGTTACCAAGGATTGGCCGAAGGGACAAGGATGCCAGCGTAGACTTGGAAAGCCACTCATCCTTACTGTGCGGGATGACTGTCTGGGCGCAGTGCCCAACAACGCAGGAGACAGGAGAGGGGAGGAGGCAGGACGAGCAGGAGGAGAAGGGAGGAGAGCAAGGAAGAAAGCTGGGGAGGAGGTTTGTCCCGATTGTGTCGGGGGCTCCCCCCCGAAATGTGGTGTAGCCTAGCCAGTTTGCCCCAGATGTGTGGACACCCCAAGTGGGTACGACAAAATGGGTACACTGCCCAACCACACATGTTGCCCCAAACCAACAGCGGCCGCCGTTGGGCAGGCGGCCTTCAGTCACAGAGGGACACAGGTCTGCGGCGGCACCGACAGCGAGTCCTGCTCAAAAGGGATAAGATTTGCTGTCGGCCGTTGTAGAGGCCTCCTAGATGGGATCGAAGTAGATGGGGTCGGAGGATCGCGCCGCATCGATACAGCGGCGATGCCTCGGCGACGCCGCCGTGGAGAACATCGGACTCCACATCGAGCCGCATCGCCGATGCAGCGGCCATGCGGCGCGATCTTCCGACCCCACCTGCTCCGACCCCACCTGCGAGGCACAGAGCCTCTGTGCCCCTTCCTTCCGCACCGGTTCCGATCGCCCCGATCCCCTCCCAGTGCTCCGCGCGGGGGCGAGCCGACGCCGCCCCCGACGGCGCAGCACCGGCGCGCAGGAAGGCGCGCGCCCCGCAAGAACACCGCAAGGCCCAGGTCGGGCGTGTCCCCCTGCAGGGGGATCCTGGAGGAAAAAGGAACAATCGTTTAAAGAAAAGCAAGCATGATCAAACACACATGGCCGAACAAGCGTCCCCTGACTACCCCTTGACTTGTTGAGAGCATTCCTCCTGCAGAGGGACATGCCCGACTTGACGCAGGGCCGAGGAGAGGCAGGAGGCGGACGCCCCGCGCGCGGTCGCACGCGCGCGGGGCGGGCGGAGCAGCGCTCTTGGCGCTCTTGCGCCTCCTTCTCTCGCCGGATCCTGTCTTCCTCGACCTTTCGCTGCCAGACCTCGGGGGTTCCAGGGCACGGCGCCGCGGCGGCCAGGGAGAGAGGGCGAGAGAGAGAGAGAGGAACACCAACAAAAAGGGAGAGAGAGAAGGAGAGAGAGATACAGAGAGAGAGACAGACAGAAAGAAAGAAAGAGAGAGAGAGAGAGAGACAGAGACATACATACACACACACAAACACACACACAGAGACAGAAACTGAGAGAGACCCAAAGTGATACAGGATCTAAGACACAGACAGACTGGACTCACACCTGGAGTGCCGAAGTCGTCTTGGCGGGCAAGAGCATTGCTGAATTACCCTCCACAAAAAAAGAGGTTGGGGGCTGGATGCGTTGCCCCAGAATGGAGACAAAACAGAGGCAAGGACAGAGAGAAAGAGAGGGAGCGAGAGAAAGGGGCCGTCTCATCATCCGCCTTTCTGATCGCCGCTCTTACCCATCCTTTTCTTTCTCATCCGTATCGCTTAGTCTCGGTTGGAATACACTCGGGTACAAGTGAAGCCAGAGACTCGAAGAGCACACCACTTCCGTTGAACGTATTGTAAGAGCGGACGCGCGCCAATCCAACGCGTGGCTGACTTGAGTCACCTTCTTCTTTCCCCGCGCGCGCGCCATGGCTGCGAAAAGCCCGCGCCGTGCGCCCTCTGCACAACCGCAACCCAAGCCGCTCAGCAAGGGCCCCCAAAAGGCCGCCGTAACGGATCGACAGGATACCTAAGTCAGTCGAAAAGGATGCCTGCGTCACCGCACTCCCGAGCAGTGGCGGCGTCGACCGGGCAGTCGCTGCACACAACAAACTGGCACACAAACATCAGACCGATCTTGAAAACAGTTACCAAAAAACACCGCTCCGAGCGCAACCTCAGGGGCGAAATGGTGAAATTGTGAGAGGATAAACAACATCACGCACAAGTCGGGTTCCAGCCGCGACTCATCATGGTTCGCGGTGTTCGCCGACGCCCACGGGTGCAACGGCATCTCCCCACTCATCAGCCTGGCTGCACAGAGCTGGGATGCCCTGTTCGCCCCCGCTCCCACCAGGGCGGAGGACGGGACATCATACACCAGCAGCATCTCCGTTCACTCGCTGGAAGAAGGTAGCCGCCTCCTGCAACATATCCGTCGACAGGACAGACCCATCGCACAGGCCGTCCTGGGGCCGATCAACTCTGATACCCGGGGCAAGGTCCTTTGCCCTGTCCTCCGCCGGACGGCAAAGGCTACCAAACCCAAGCCAGGACGCATGAACGGGGCTATCTACCAACTGGGCCGCACCGAGGACAACTGCCTCCAAGACGTTGCACAGGCTACCCTCGACCCAACTGGCGGCGTTATCTGGATCCGCGGCGCTGCATGTGAAGCCGACGCTAGCGTGGCCAAGCCAGCGTTTGAGGACCCCTTCACCGCCCAGTTCTCTCGCGCCGACCCCATCAAAAGCACCCGCGTACAAGGCGGCGCAGCAACGGCACAGCAGAAGGCCAAAGAGTGCCACAAGGCAGGCAAGCGCGACAGCGCGCGGCAACAACTGGACGATGTTCTCACAGACGCCTTCGCGGCCATCTTCACCTCCCACGCCCGCGCCGTCCAAGCCCAAGGGCCATGGAGCTCCTGGGGCGACAGGGAAGGGGTGCAGGTCAACGCAAACTGACGGCCACCTGGGGAGTCGAGCCAGCGGACCTTCCCTCGGCTGCACGTGAGAGTGACCCTGGGCAAGGGTGACCTTTGGTGCGCGGCTGTTTTTTGGGGGGGCGAGGAGGCCAAACACAAGCGCGCAAGACGCTACTATCGCAACGAGCGCGGCGATCGGGGGACCCCGATGAGCGCGCACCAAAGGTCACTCCGGCGAAGGGTCACTCTTACGTGTAGTCGAGTTCCCACGCTCCTGCCCACGTCCGGACGAGGCGGCATCCGGTCCGACGTCGGCTATCACGGTGCCAAGGGGACGTCGCCCAGCGATCACAGCGGGCCACGATGCCCAGACGGCCACCAGAGCACGCTCCAGGAAGAGCGCGCGAGCTCCCACAGGCACGGCTCCCACGGCGCCGTCCGCGCGGACAAACACGCGGGCATCCGCGTCCACACTGGCGCCGCCGAGGCCGCTCGAACTCGGCGGCGCCGATGCCGCACTCGCCGGCGCCAGGTGCCGCATCGCGGGCGTCGAGGCACAGAGCGCCGCGAGAACTCGAATCGCCAACACCCTCACGTCCACCAAATGGCACTGAGAAGCGCCACGCGCAGCATGGGACAGAACCGCGCAGGGTGACTTCGCCATCCCCAGCGCGGCCGCGCCGCCACCAAACACCACTGTGTATGACAATGTCCAAGGATCCCCCCCCTCCCCTGCGCCATCGTCGAGATCGAGCCCCCCGCCAGGAGCACCCCCCCCGCAAGGGCCCATCGAAACGGTCGCCTCACAAGAGGCACTCGCTGCGGGAGGGCGCCCGCGGCGGGCGCGCCACCCAGGTGGGCCAGGCGCCTGCGCCTCGCCACCGTCCTCCTCCTCCTCCTCCTCCTCCTCCTCCTCCTCCTCCTCCTCCTCCTCCTCCTCCTCCTCCACGCCAGCGCCGTCACCAGGCCGTATCTGCAAGACCTACTGACGCCGCCGCCGAGCCGTCTCAAAGCGTCAGCCCCCCGAGTCGCCCCGCCGCCTGGAAAGAGACAGCGCGGCAACAGCGCCGAGGAGACAAACCCGCGCTCGGGCGGCGCAGCCGGGCAGGCCGCGGAACCTGCAGCAGGAGAGCCAAAGGCCAGCCTAGAAGAGGTACCACTGGCCCTGCGACGCGAAGAGGACTGCAGCGTGGCGGAGAAGCGCACAAAACCCGAGGGCACCAAATTCCCCCTCCAACGTCGCCCAAAGGTCGATCCGAGCCGCCAGGCAACGAGAGAGCCTCCGAGGACGATTGGCCACCGAGCCAAACGTCCAAGGGATCCCAGGCCAAACCGACGTTCCGGGGCCTGAAAGCTGGCCGCCAGCGGCTGGCCGACACGGCCAGGCGCCTCGAAGCCACAATGACCAGCGCGGCCACCATCCGAGCCGCCCTGGCCCAGCAATTCGGCCAGTTTGAGCATGGGATCCCCTTGTTGCAACTGGAGCAGGCAAGTCTCGACGCGGATCTCAGAGCCTCCAGGCCCCAAAAGGCCCCGCTGGTGTTGCCGGCCCAGGCCCAAGCGGCCCGATCCCACCTGTGCCCTGGCGCCCAGCCACCAGCCCCCCTGCTGGGACAGAGACGCGAGACCACCAATGGGGAGGCAGAGCTGCAGCCAGTTGGAGGGGCAGAGCAGGGATGCGACCCGACGGGCATGCCACCCCGCCGGTCTCGGCCCGAGGCACCGCAGGGGCCGTACTGTAGGGGCCTCGACGGGCCCTCCTCTCCCCATCGAGGTAATACTCACCGAACGCTATTGGACACATGTCGCGCGCTTGTGCATGGGGTAGGAAAGGCTGGGTGCGCTATAACACTTGGCGCGCTATAAGCACTGCTTCTCTGGCTTCCACTATCGCGCAGAAGGCTCCTGGCGCTCCCAGCTCGCACCTGCTCGCATTCGGCTCCGCAGCGCCTGCCCGGCACGCCGCGCACGCGAGGGCGCCGCCATTGGGGTGGGCGTCATCGTGTGCCTCGGCCGCATAGAAATCTTCGCCCACGCCCCAAATCGCCTTCTGCAGCCTTCTTCTACATGATCTCGAGACATGGGCACGAGCCTCGACGCCCAACGGCCCCCCCCCCCACACGGCTCTGCCGGCGAGCAGACAAGGGGAAGAGGCAATCCTACTTCTTTCGCCTGAGCTGCTGGCAAGCAGCACCAAGCTGCCACTTCGGCCGCACACAAGCCACTCGCTCATGCGACGAACACCCGCAACACACACACACAATTGCCATACAGGGCGCTGCTACCTCGCCAAGGCCACGGGAAGCGTTGACGGTCCACCAAGACCTGCCAACATCAGCCAGTCTGGAGGATTTACCGCCGTGTCACGGGACGTCCACCAGCTTCAGAAACGAGGAAGAACCCACGTCAAGGGCCGTGGATCTCTGGTCAGCCCCGCGCCAGCCGAGCAACGCAACATGAAGGGCATTCACCTGCGCGCCGCCGTGCACGATGTGCGCGCAGGCATCCCCGCCAGGCTATCGAACTAGGTGCCATCGCCGAACGGGAAGCGCTGCTCTGGCTGAGAAGGCAAGCGCGGGGAAACACCAGTCTCGACGCCAAAGCCAACGAGCTGCGACAGCATGAGCAAGCCTTTCGGCGGTGGACACACCTCCCTTTAGCAGACCTCCCCTTGGTGAAAGCGGCCAGGGACCGAGACCGACGGACCTGGACCCGCAAAAATGACGGCCGCGACGCCCTCTCGCAAACCGAAAACGGCCAATTCCTTGATCGACGTGTCAGGGTAGGAGTGAAGGGGCCCTGGGACACACAAATAAATACACACAAATAAAGATATTCCCCATATTTCCCCAGATGTTCTGGGCTTCTGTCTTCCCCCCCCGACTTCCCATATTTTCCTACATTTTCCTGGGAATCGACGATTCATTGTGTCGGTGTGTTTTTCCCCCCCTGAAGGAGGTCTGTCCACCCCCTGAAGGAGGCCCCGTGGGCAGACCTCGGCGAGCCATGGCCCGACTCGCGTGGAGCCGGCCAGCACCCGGCACGATGTGCCGACGCCTGGGGCCCCCTTTCCAGCGGGGCTTTTGTTAAGCCGGGCGTGTCCCCCTAAAGGGGGATTCTCGGCAACAAAAAAAAAGAATACTCAAAGAATGCTCAAAAATGGTTTTTAAAAAACTCAAAAATCGTCCCCGAACTATTTCTCAACTATCTTTGAACATTCCCCCAGTAGAGGGACAGGCCCGATTTATGGCTTTTGCTCACGCATATGATCCGTGCGTCACAGAAATCATCTCTTGCGGCGCATCCCGAACGCCGCCGCGGCGGTCAAACGGAGTCTCGACTACTTCGCCAACGCGTGGCTTCTCATAACGAAAGGCAAGGCCAAACGCACCGCTCGGCAATTTGGCCCCCCTTGCAACTACCCCTGCGGGGGCGACCACACCCAGCAGAGGAAAGTCGAGGCCGACATCTCTGCCGGCCTGTTTCTCTGCGCAGATGGTGCAGCCGAAAAGAGGAGAACCTGGCGCACACCGTCTAAAGAAAGGCCGCGCAAGGAATCCGAAAGGACTGCCCCAAAAACCAGAATCACCGAGCAGACATGGCGAGACCAGCCGCCGCCACTGGATCCTGCGGGCCTCTTGAAGAGGACCCCCAGCTCCGCGATCTCCAAATTGCCCTCGCCGAGAATAGACTCCCGCAGCCCGTTCCGCGACCGTCACTGGATGGCCCCGGCGATGGCGCCCGCGAGGAGTATGCCGACGCCGGAGCCCGGCGGGCGCGTGCTGCCACCGATGGGGCCTGCTCACACCCGGCCCGCCAGGGCGGATTTCGGGGGGCCTGGATCACCGGTGCGGCGCGGTCCGCAGAACGCCGAGACTCCGGCCTTGCTCCGTCTCGTCGCCACGGCTGAGCGGCCCGCACACCGTCTCGTTGGCAACCGGGCTGTCGACGACGGGTTCGAGGGCGTCCTCAGCGGGAAGCCACCGCAACACCTGAGTGCCCAGACCGACCTTTGGCAGAAGACCCGCCGCGCCCTCCAGCCCAAGCCAGACATGTTCAAAGTCCAGAAGATAGAAAGCCACCTGGGTGAGCAAGGCATCGACGAGGGGCCTATCGCGCCGATTGCGGCGGTCTTCAACCGCCACGCTGATGACTTCGCCGAGTCTGGCACGGCCTGATCGACGCTGCGAAATGGCGACAGGAGTTCGTGGCCGTCCTTCACTCCACGGCTGTCGCTATTTATGATTGGCGTCACCAAACGCTTCCCCTGCCAGACAGACGAACGGGCTACTCAAGGGCTGTGCTCAGCAAGACGAAGCCACACCCTGGTACACTTGGCCAAGGAGGAGGCAATGAGCCACCAAGCTCACAAGGCGACCCCGTTGACCTCGACGGTCCCCCTAGGCCAGAGCACTTCGATAACCTCGACGAAGCGTGGACGGGCCTGCTCGACGACTTCGAGACTGCGAGGAAGAAGACCTGCTAGTGTCTGGCGCCTCCTTGAACGAAGACGAAAGCAACGATACCGCCCCTGCCCAAAACCACAGCCGAAACGGCCACAGCGAACACGGTGATCATCACCACGACGTGAGCCAGCCGTGACTCTCCAGAACGGCCACGTGCAAGCCGCCCACGGCTGGCAGGATCAGGAGTCGCCGACAGCTCCCCTCACCACCAGGCCAGCTCCCCCTCTCGCCGGGGTCTGGGGAGCAGGGAACCGTCAGCGACCGCCGTCGGAACAGGGACCCAGAAATCAGACCGTGGGCAATCCCTCGCGCAGCATCTCCCAGCGGACAGCTGGCAGCCAGGGGGGCGACCGCAAAGCGGTCCTCATCGCTGTCGTCAACGCGCTGCATCAGCAGGCCAACCGCCTTGCCCAAGCACTCCAGCACATCCAGGAACAGTCAGCGCACATGCTCTTGACATCGCTCGGACGTACATTCCCCGCGCATGTGTCGGATTCGGTGTTTTGTGGGGGGGAGGGGGAAGATGGTCCAGGATGCTCCTCGATGGGCCTCGCCGAGAAAAAATGCACACGTCCGAGCGATGCCAAGTGCTTGACAGGTCCCACCGAACAAGAGCGGCCTGGGGCGGCCTCCAGCAGGCCTCCCGACTTGCCGCCTCCCTCGGGGCGTCCCTCCAGGACAACCTCCGGGCTCTCCTTGCTGCTCAGCGCGCTGCACACCAGTGCTAGCGCCCCTCCTCTCCCAAGGAGCTCCGCGACACCTGGTTCATGTTCCTTTGCCCTCCTATTCGGCCGCCGGGTAGGGAGCCGCGAGGCGGCGCCGCCACGGTTTGGGCGCCGCGCCACGCATGCCAGAGCGTCATGTGCAGCGAGCGTCTCTCTGTCCGCGGTTGTGCAGAAAGGGGCGAGGCCCGCCCGTATGGCCGCTTCCCGCCTCTGCTTCCCACTCGAGGATCCCACAGTTCGCGCCAGGGGGAGGGAAGAATGGGGGCCCGACCACGAGAAACCTTCCCCTATGAAGCCCAACCCTGAGACCCCAGGACCCCCCAGGACGTCCAAAGATTCTTGGTGTGGGCACGGCACGCTCTCTGTGACAAAACCATCGGAGCACAAGAAACCCAGGGCACCCCGGAGGCAAGCAGGGTGCTTCTTGGCCCTCCTCCTCCTCCTCCTTCTCCTCCTCCTCCTTCTCCTCCTTCTCCTCCTCCTTCTCCTCCTCCTCCATGGGCCTCCCCTGTAGTCTCCCCACCCCTGCTGGCACAAGCGGCACGTCCCGACACACGGGGTGGGCGCGGCGGCGCCAGTACCCCGCTCGCAGAGACGGACACTCCGCCCGAACTGTTGCGATCTCTTCCGCATCGCGTCTCCTCACGTTCTTCAATCCTCGCACCGCCTACTCCTCTCATTCCTCCTGCCGCGCCCCCTACGTTCCTCTTCCTCCTCCCTCCTCCTCCTCCTCCTCCTCCTCCTCCTCCTCCTCCTCCTCCTCTTCCTCCTCCTCATCCTCGCCGTCATCATCATCATCATCATCATCATCATCATCATCATCATCATCATCATCATCATCACCATCATCATCATCATCATCATCATCACCATCATCATCATCATCATCACCACCATCATCATCATCACCATCATCATCATCATCATCATCATCATCATCGTCATCATCATCAGCATCCTCATCATCATCAGCATCATCATTATCATCATCATCAGCATCATCATCATCAACATCATCATCATCATCCTGCTGTCCTCACCCTCCGCCTCCTCCGCATCATCATCACCACCATCATCATCATCATCATCATCATCGTCATCATCACCATCATCATCATCACCAACGTTACTATCATCATCCGCAGCATAATCGTCATCATCATCAGAATCAGCATCGTCATCATCATCATCACCACATCACCATCATCACATCATCATCAGCATCAGCATCATCATCAGCATCATCGTCGTCATCAATATCAGCATCACCAGCATCGGCATCAGCATCAGCATTAGCATCAGCATCAGCATCAGCATCAGCATCATCGTCGTCATCATCATCAGCATCATCGTCATCGTCGTCATCATCCTCATCCTCATCAGCATCCTAAATATCATCGTCATCATCAGCGCCAGCATCATCGTCATCATAATCATCATCGACAGCATCATCATCTTCACCAGCATCATCATCCTCATCAGGAGCATAATCCTCATCCTCATCCTCATCCTCATCTCATCCTCATCCTCATCCTCATCATCCTTACCCTCATCATCATCAGCATCAATCAGCATCATCGTCATCATTACCAGCATCATCATCAACACCATCAGCATTCCGCATCCGCATCTTCTTCCTCATCCTCATCCTCATGTTCGTCCTCATCAGCATTACCACCGTCACCAGCATCATCATCCTCAACATCATCATCATCATCATCATCGTCATCATCATCATCATCATCATCATCATCATCGTCATAAGCATCATCACTACCAGCATCATCATCATCAATCATCATCAATCATCATCAATCATCATCATCATCATCATCATCATCATCATCATCATCATCATCATCATCATCATCATCATCAGCATCATCATTATCCTCATCATCATTATGTTCCTTGTCGCTTCTCTTTCCTCCGTAGTGCGAAGAATATAAGATGCAGCGCATTGTGCAAATAAAGGGGGGACAAGAAATATGCATGCCAGGTGAAATGCGGAGATGGCTGAGAGAGAGAGAGAGAGAAAGAGAGAGAGAGAGATACACGCAATCCAGGAGCATCTCGTCGGACCTCCTCTCTTCTCATACGGGCCTCTTCCCACTTCCTGCGCTGCTCCTGACGAGGCATCGCATCAACGTGCCGCAATGCTCCGAGCAAGGCTCAGGTCACACGGAGCGATAACATGTGTGCAGATGTGTCAAGGGACTTGTCGCCTCGATCTCGCGTCAGCGCCCCGGTCTTGCCCGGCTCTGGCAAGGGCCTGCCGTTCGCACGCTGCTCCCACTCGTCCTCCCTCACGTCTGCCTGCCCCGTGAGTTCTCACGCAGCGCGGGCCTCCTATGTGACGCGCAGTCGTGCCACCGCCTGGAAGTGGGTCCCCCCCGATGGGCTCCGGGTGGTGGTGGTCTCTGTTTCGCCCCTTCCTCCTCCTCCTCCTCCCCCTCCTCCTCTTCCTCCTCTTCCTCCTCCTCCTCTTCCTCCTCCTCCGCCTCCTCCTCCTCCTCCTCCTCCTCCTCCTCCTACGCCTCCTCCTCCTCCTCCTCCTCCTCCTCCTCCTCCTCCTCCTCCTCCTCCACGCCCGCCTCCTCCACGACCGCCCCCGACGTGGCCGAATGCTGCGGCGCTCCGCCTGCGTCCACCTGCTTACGCCGAGCCATCGGTCTGCCTATCGCAGGCTGGCCTCACTCGTCCTCTCTAACAGCTGCCCCCCCCCGCTTCCCCCCATGAGTCCCCACGCAGCGTGTGTTCCTTTGGGTGAGCCATGCGCCGCCTCGTGTAGTGGCTGCGAGAAGATCCAGCGCGCGCCCGCTCCCGACATGCCGACTCCGCAGCGGCACCAAGAAGTGTGCCCTAGGAGTCGCACGTCGGTCGACAGAAGTAGGTGAAAAAGCATGAAGCAGGAAGGCGCCTCACGCAGCCTGGGATCCGAAAGTCGAGAGAAACAACAAAAAACGGCGTTCAACGACCGACGGGCACCGCATGCCGAGGCCGGCGGCGGAGCGAAGGAGCAGGCTGCGAAGCGCCCGGAGCCGAGCGCCCGGAAATCCTGGACGCGACGCCGCGCGCGGGATCGCGCGGGGCGCCCGCCCACCCGTCCGCTGGCCCCCGCCTGCTGGAGGAGGCGCGCGAGAGGATCGGCTGTCGCTGCAGTGGGTTGGCCAAAGGACGCCGCTGCCAGCTGCAGGAGGAAACGCGGCATAAGCATACAAATGACGCCACTGCCAGCTGCAGGAGAAACCTCGGCATGAACATAAACTGCTGGCGCTCCGCGCGGATTCCTTGGATCTACGCCCGACCCCCCTCCCTGGCGCGCGGAGCGCGCCAGGGGCAGCGCCGGAGGCGCAGCCGGGGGGGGGGGGGGGGGGCAGCGCGGATCCAAGAAATCCGCGTGGAGCGCCAAGAGTTTGTGTTTGAGCAGTTTGTGGGGACCTTCCTGGAGGCACTCGCGCTCCACTCTTGCGTCGAGGCTCCGTCGAACGTCCGTCGACTCGAATCGACCCTGCGTCGCACCTGAGTCGAACCTGAGTCGAACTTTCCAGTCCAGATTGAGCCGAACGTGGGGCGACCAAGAGTCGAGCAGATCCGTTAGGTGGGCCCCAGGAAGGTCCCCAGGTCTGCTTACTGCGACGGTTTGCAGCAGTGCGTCCGACGGGGGAGACTACACCTGCTCGAAAGAGGCGCCAAAAAACAGCCAAGATCTACTCCAGGGGGGGGAGGGGGGGGTGCGAGGGCTCGCGCCGATCGGCAAAACAAGGAATAAGAGAACGATCACTACAAAAGAGGATTCAGAGCAGTGGGGAGGGATGGGCGGGAGGGGTACAGTGGAGGCCAGTTCACAAAAAAAACCTTCCACAAGACACCCAACCCTGAGACCCACGACGTCCATTGATTTTCGGTGAGGGAACGTCACGCTTCCCGTCGCAAAACCATCGAAACCCAGGAAACCCAGGGCACCCTGGAGGCAAGCAGGGTGTCTCTTGGCATGGGTCCTCACTGTAGGATGCCAGGCGTGACGCAAAGGGGTAGCCCTCTGGGAAAGGGGACGAACGGGCTCATCTCAGAGAACTTCTGGGCACTGCACGGCTCCAAGCTGGCCCCAAGCAGTCCCAGAGGCCTTGAGATGGCCTCCAGGATTGACTACCTACCAGACCACCCCAACCCAACCCGAAGATCCGAATTTCGGGTTCGGGGGGGTACGGGCTTCATGTGTGTTTTTTTCAATGTTCCCCGACCCCCCCCTCGTTGGAAATGGAAGGCGAATCGGGGCCTTCGGATTGGGTTGGGGTGGTTTAGTGGCCGGTGAAGAATTGGGGAAGCCAAAAAGTAATGATACAGCTACTCCCCAGACCTCTCCATGGGTGCGTTCTGACCATAATTTCGAGGCGAATCCAGCCGTGGCGACGAGGGCCTCCCAGGAGGCACAAGAAGGGGGAAACAAGGGGATGGTAGCGGCATCGGTACCAATCCCTCCTCTGAAAGAAGGCCTCCTAAATGGCCCAATGTTTTCGCAAGATGGCCTCCAATATGCATCCAAGAGGCCCTTTGACTGCCACAAGACACAGGTCCCAGCGGCCACAGAGCCTCCCGAGGAAGACCCCTAGAAAATCACAGCCTTCAAACATGTTGTTTTGTTATGTTTGCATTCTCGCCTAGGCCACAAGATATATCCAATATCGTTCAAGACCGCAAGTAGGGGCAACCAAAAAAACACAAGACGGTCCAAAAGGACCCCGGGGGCGCCCCAAAAGCTCAAGAAATATTACTCCAGTACTAACTCATGTCGACTGTCCTCCAAGATTGCCTCAAGAGGACCCATAACATTCAGCAGGGCCCAAGAGAGCCCCAACGGCCTCCAACATGGATTCAAAAAGCCTCTGGGAAACCCCTGATCGAAAGATCCACAATCATGACAAATCGACAGCCTTCGGACCCACGCCGAATGCAGTCATTGCAGTTCCTACGTCAACATGGCAAATTCCGTTGACTACTCCCCTCTCCCGGGGGTCTGTGAGACCGCCGCTGCAACCAATGCCGGAAAACACGCCGCTGCAACTCTGCTTCGGATGAGCCAAATGATGTGTATGCCCACCTTGCCCCAAAGTCCCTTTTCGCTGGGTCGGACGAGAATGCCATGAACGACGGCGCTCCTCCTTGCGCGCCTTCTCGGCCTTCGTTTTCTCCTTCTCGGCGGCCTGCCGGGCGTAAGCGAAGTAACGGGGGACCCACTCACCCCCGTCCTGGCGGCAAGCGATACACCCCCCACCCACCCCCGAACAACGCTTCACGTTCAGCATCCCCAGATCGGTGGTCGAGAGAGGGGGCACAGGAGTTTGAAGGGGGTTGGGGGGCCCAATCAGACGCTTAGCCGAAGGCGAAGCCCACATCCAATTCTGTTATACCATAGCAACGATAGTCCCAAGAGCAGGAGTGACTCGCGGGATCGAAGAGCCATGTCAAACGAATATGTTTTCGGTCTCGATGGCGAATAGTGTGCCTCGCGGTGAGGCACAGTCATATCTTGGCGGCCAGCCGCTTGAGAACTAACGGCCGCGGACAAACGCTCGCTACCACTCGCCTTTTTGCCCAGTTTCCGTTAGAGTCGGGGGGGAGGAGACGAAGCGTGAGTCCGCCTCCAGCTATACAGCATAACGCTATAATACACAAGGTAGGCAGCAGCAAGCGGGCTCAACAAGGCAGGTTGGCACGCGTGCAAGCTACCTTGCACGCAAGTTACCTCGCAGGCAAGTTGCCCAGCGGATAGCTACTCCTCAGGCGGTTCTGGCGATCCTGTCTGGCCAGCCCTGTATGGAATGTGTCGTTTTAGGTCATGATTGAAGGATTGCGTTCCTCCCATGACTTGCATGAGACTGTTTTTCTCGATGTTCCGTTCGGCGCGGCCGTCCGCTATCAGATCGCGAGTATCACACCATTGCACACAGTGCACGATACCCCGCTCCATCATTTGTCGCATCCAACTGGTGTGTCCCAACAGTGTGCACCCAGTCGGTTTCTGCAGGTCTTTGCTTAAGCAGGGCTTGAAGACAGATTCTGCATCGATGGTCAAAGTGACCTTTATGCTCAGGCCGCCCATCTCTAGATGATCCTGCAATTGAGTGGGTGTCAGCGGCCCTGCGCGGGGTTCGCGCAGAGTGACGATCGTGGGATAGCAGCCCCCCAAGTTGCAGGCCGCTGCACATGTTTTCCCTGAGTAGCTCGAGCGGACCTGCAAGCGATGAGACTTGCAGTGCGCGTGGAAAAGATGGACGACGGGCTTACCAGCATGCGCGCGTCCACGCCATAGCAGGTTTGCCCCGCGAACACCATGGCCTTCGACTTCGTCGCCAGCAACTCCACTCAGACGTCGGTAGCCAGAGTCGCTGTGCAGGTCGGCCTAGCCCGTTGGAATCATCGCTTGATAGACGATATTATTCGGGCGGGCCTGCAACTTCCTGAGTTCAGTATAGAGGGCCTTCGATACCTTGACTGGGTTCGCCTGAATATCAGCCTTCGTGAGAAGGCCGCTCTCCTTGACGACTGCAGCTCGTCTAGATGCAGCGGTCAAATATAAGAGCGCAGTGGTCACAAGGTCGAGATCTGATATCCTGTGCTGCTGTTCGGATAAGACTACCTTTGACACGTCTGCCGCGAAGCAGAGATCGACGCATTGTCCGTACTCGCCGAATCCAATCCGCAACTGCCATCTTCGTCCGTGGAGCACAATGGGGCATGATCTGTCTCAGTTGCGTATATGTCCTGCGCGTTGCCACACGTAGGCAGACCCCCCGCTGTTCTCCAACTACTGTGACCAGCTCGCTGCTGTCAGTGATCACCTGCGCGGGTGCAGTATAGAGCACCTCTATTGAAGTTGCCCCCAGTAGTTCCCTTTCGTCAAATAGTTCTGCGAACCACGCTTCCATAATGCGCGTGTGCCTCGAGGTCCGCCTCTGACGCCACATGCATGGTGGGAAGCCGTCTGTCTTCCCGTGGTGGTTCGATTTCCGGGGCGTCCCTGGCGTCGTTGCCTTGCATTGGCACGTTGGCCAGTTCTTCGAACTTCGTCATGTCTTGGTCGACGCACGCTTGAGGTCTGGTGGACTTCAGGCACTGGGCGCCCCTTGACTGCGCTGATCCAGTTATGTCTTGTACGTTTAGCGCAGCGCCTTCAGCTTCGCAGTAGTGGAAGCCTGGAATCACGCCGTTGTCGTAATGCACCAATGCACAACTGTCAGCATTACGTCACTGGATGTAGCTAGTGGATACTCTTGGCCAACCTGACAAGCATACGTTTTCAATGCGAAAGAAGCTCCCGATGATGTACTGAAAAGCTAAGTGTGCCTTAGGAGATAGTCGGCTCGCGCTCGCCATCTGGAGCTTCCCGTTTTCGGTTGGGAGGCACCCAATTGCCATGGCACGTCGCCCCGCAGGTAGACTTGCTATAAATGCCAACACAATCCGCAATGCTGTGTTGTCCGAGCCAATCTCTCGGGCGATCAAGGCTCCACTGCATAATGAATACGCGCGTCACCACACTGGACTTGCACATCGCGGCACCCCACTTACACGATGATCTGACCCCTGTCGAGATCATTCCGCGCGACCGGGAAGGGTGCACTCCAGCCGCCCCAGTCGTCTTTCGCAGTGGTGGGGCGAAGCTAGTCGACCAGATCTCCTTCGTCATCGTAATGCTGACCAATGATGAAAGTCTTGGTCCGTAGTGCACGGCTCGTCTTCGCTACTGCAGTGGCTTGAGACGCAGCCTCAACACTTACCCCGAGGATAGTCTGTTCTCGACTAATATCAGATGCGCCCATCTGCTGTTCGCGTTCCAGAACAGACAAGTCGGGTAGCATCGATGGTTGTCGGCCGAACAGCGCGTTGCATGCAGATGCTCCATTGCAAAAGGTAAGCGCACTGGCGGCGAACAAGGCTTCATGCAGAAGACGGGCGAACACAAGTGGCATTGCTAACCTGTCGAGTTCAGCCTCCACGACGTGAAGTAGGCGTCGTCGTATACCAGCGCTGGCTTCAATGGTCGTAGCGCGTAGCCCACGCGCACGCATCCTCAGCGCAGCGCCTGTTGCCTGAAGCACTGCCATTGCGGTGTCGTGATTGAGTGCACCTTCCCCGTGGAGTAAAGTACTTCGGCGGGTCCGAATTGCATCCAGTACTGATGGCGCGCGCCTAGGATGCTGGTCATGGTATTCTCTGGCATCTCGATTCCAGCACCGCATCGAAAGGAGCGATCGGTTATATGGAATATACAGCGTTCCTGTTTGTGAAACATCAGATCGCATTCGACTTCATCATTAAATTCGCCAAGTAGCGCAGTTGACGGCACGAAGCATGTCCAGGTTCCCACCAAGCCTTGCACCCCCGGCATGTGTCGCAGACGCCTTTGATCAAGCTTAGCCTGACGCTGTCCAGCCAGACCAGCCTGGGTCTAGATGGGTCTCACCTTAAGCCCTTTGGCGTGGAACCACCGCAGGTGTAGTTGTCATAGCTCTCGCGTTACCGCGCTTGGGTCAAAGCAACGCAAGTTGAGCAGACTAATTCACACGTCGAAGCTTGACCAGTCTGGAAACCTTGGACGAGCAGCGGGGTCACCCGCAAGTGGTGGTGGAGGTGGATCCCCACCTTGCTGTCGCCCTCGTCTGCCTATTACTTGCGGTAGTCGTGCGCAGCTGTGCTCGAAGCAGGTTGCCCCGCAGCCGGTTCAGCAGCATGTCTACCTACTGTGATCCCGTGGCTGCTGGCGCCCGCTGTCGGCCGAGATCTGGAACCGCGCCTCGGGGCTCGTAGCCGCGCAGTTTGTCTGGCGGCTGGTGCCTCGGAAGCAACTGCCGCCGCAGGTGGTGGTGCGTCGGAAGCAGCTGCCGGTTCGGCTGTGGCCAGGGGCCCCTGTCCGCGGTCGCCAGGCAGCTTCCACGGCTTGACAAACTTAAACTTGCCAGGTGTACGTAGGTGACCAGGTTTAGCCTGACCATATGTCTTCTTGCAGCTCGGGCATTCCCAGTAGTAATCCTCTTTTGCGCACTGCCCACAGTGCTTGGGGTCTCTGTCGCGCAACGGGGACAACGCGCTGGCGCTGTCCGCGCGCGCTGGACATGCCCGCCCTCCCGATGGCGGCCCCATGATGGATCCGTCAGGATGTCGAAAGATAGCTGGGCCATCCAAGTCGATTCCGCGCGCGTTCCCACCTAGAACAGATGATGCATGAGGATGATCATGAAGGGGGTCGCGAGTCACTGAGAACATGCCGCGTGCAATTTGAACTGCTTCAACGAAGAGGGATTGCATCGTCGGATCACATGGGGTCGCCCTGGCCGGTTCCCCGTTGCAGACCGAGGCATGTTGATGATAGCCCGCGCGCCGTCTGCTCCCGAAGGGAGTTAGCAAGAGGCGGCGGTTGGCCATTATCTCAATAGGCATTCGCATGAATGCACGATGGGAGTCACGAAGACCCGTTTGGTCCATGTTGACCTTGTGCGTGCCCTCGCGTTTGGCTAGTGTCGCCCGTTGTGGTATGTCATCCACCCAAATGCCCGCTGGTTGTTCTCGCAGGTAGAACCGTCGGAGGTCGTCTAGGCGCACGGCAACCCTGCCACAAAACTTGATAGGTGGAAGGTCTTCCTTATGATGTGAGTTGAAGTAGGAAGTAGTGAATTACTACATCCTGGAGTTCCTCGTTTCTAAGGTCAGCGTAAGTACGTTTGTCGAGGTTGCCTCCTGCGGATAAACCTCGACTGAAGGCTGACTGCGACACCCCCCGCCACCTCCACGCAGTTCCAGCACGTCTACCTTATTGTTTCGTCCGTAACACAAGGTTGGGATTATGGAAAACACAAAAGCATGCGCATCCGCAGGTAAGCCCGCCGGCGGTGCAACGAAGGTTTCTTCGTCTTCAACGCTGTCGGAGCCCAGAGGAACGTCAGTGTAGTACGATCCACGCCCGAGGCCCTTCAAGTCCTCGCCACAATCGTCGTTGTCGTCTTCGAAAGACGTGGGTATCTTGCGCGGTGCGATGCCGGCGTCTCTGTCAATGTTATGCTTTTCTTGCTGCTTTATCCGGGCATCAGTAGGTAGTGCGGTCTGTTGTTGCTTATTCTCGGGTGGGGTAAGTGTCGGAAAGTCGGGAATGGGGGGAAGCGCGCGGCCGTGCTCTTTCGATGGGGGGAGGAATACGATCGTCATC